AAAAAATTCCTTACCCAATTTTATTGGAATAGTCTGAAAAAGGTACAAAATTCTAGGTAAAATATTCATCTTAATAGTTGCAATCCTACCAATCATAGATAACTGCAGATTTCCCATTTCACCAAATCTAAACCTATCTGTTGCTTAAGCTTATTGTAGTTATTTTCTTTAAGTGAACTACACCTCGTTGTCAAATATATCCCCAAATATTTTATCTTGTTTGTGACCTGCATCTTGGAAATCTCCATCAATTCTTCTTTTTGTTTTTTTAACATATTTTTAATCATTATTTTTGTCTTATCTTTATTAATTTTCAAACCAGCAACTTCCCCAAACTCTCCAATAGTTTCTATCAGTTTTTTAATTGATGCTAGTGGTTCTTCAATAATAAAGACCAGGTCATCAGCAAAAGCTTGTAGTTTGTATTCTTCTTTTCGAATTTTCATACCTTTTATCTCTTTTTCTTCTCTAATATTTCTATTTAAAATTTCCAGTGTCAAAATAAACAACAATGGGGACAATGGGCATCCTTGACGAGTACCTTTTTGTATCTCAATAGAATCAGTCAATTCTCCATTAATCATAACGTTTGCTGTCTGTTTAGAATATATAGCTTCAATTGCCTGAATAAATTTCCTACCAAAGCCCATCTCTTCCATTTGTAACATGATTAATCACCAATTCACGTTGTCAAATGCTTTTTGAGTGTCTAAAAATATCAAAGCCATCTGTTTTTCAGGATGCGCTTCATAATATTCTAAAGTATTCAGTATTATTCTTATATTATGTCTAATTTGTCTTTTGGGTAGGAATCCATTTTGAACTGAATGTGTAAAATTATTCAAATATCTCTTAAGTCTTTCTGCCAGTATTGAAGCAAAAATTTTGTAATCTAAATTTAGCTAGGATATAGGCCTATAGTTTTTGATTAGTTGTGGGTCTGTATCTTCTTTATGGATCAATGTAATATAAGCCTCAGTCCATGATTTGGGTATTTCCTTATTTGTCATTACTTCTTTCATAACTTCCAGTAATGGAAGACTTAAGGATTCTTGTAGCGTCCCATGATACTCAACCGGCAAGCCATCTGGTCCTGGTGCCTTTCCATATTTCTGATTCTTAATTGCCTCTGTTAATTCCATCATCGTAATGTTTCTTTCCATCATCTCCTCAATATCCTTGGGAATTTGTGGTAGATTTGCTTTTTATAAATACCTTATCATTTTTTCCTCCTCTATTATCTCTTTTTTATAAAGCTGTCTATAATATTCTTGTATAATTTTCCCCATCTCTTTATTGCCAAATTTACATTGTCCTTGGTCATCAAGTAATTGCGCTATTTTCCTTGATTCTCTATCCTTTTTCAATTTATAAGATAGCCATCTTCCAGGCTTATTCGCATTTTCAAAATAGTTCTGTTTGGTGATTCTTATTTTTTGAGCTAGATCTTCCTTTTCCAGCAAGTCTATTTTATGTTTTATTATGTCCATTTTAATTTTAACATTTGATAATATTTATCAAATATTGCTTTGAAGCATAGTTCTCTGAAATGTTTGCATAACCTATGTGGCCTAAACAATGAGGATCATTGATGTAGAAATTTGTTGATATGCTCTGATTACTGTTTATCTAAAGATGATATAGTCAAGGTATAACATTAATTTCCCATTAAGAAAATCAAGCCACTTTTATTCACAGTTGAGAAAAGACATTTAATGTATAACTTCTACAAAAAGTTCGGTCTTTTTGTGTTAATTCAATCACAATAAGTTAATTCTGGTCTGCTTTTCTTCTATCCCAGAATGTTTTAAGCACCCCAAAATGTTTTAACACCTCTTGTTTTAGCTAACAAAGAGCACCAACCCCCACTAATAAAATAAGAAAGATGCCTATTTTTTGTGGAGTCTGATTGTATTTATCCTCTTTTACTATATAAGGCGGTCCTCAAGTTATGACCACTTTCTCAGCAACTGTTCAAAATTATGATGGTATTAAATGACAGGTCTGCAAAGTTAAGTCGTTGCAGTGTCTCCGTTGTCCATGATTGTGATCGGGGCATATCCTTACCCAAGTTGCAACATCAAGCGGTCACATGATCACCACTTGCCAGCTTCCCTGCCAACTTCCCCCAAAGTCTTTTTTAAAAAAATATTTTTATTGAAAAATATTAGAAATAAAAATAAACATGAAAATATATAAAGAAAAGTTAGAAAAATAAGACAAAAGGAAAACTGAAGAAAGTAATACCAAGCTTCCCTCTGAACTTTACTTGTTGGAAGCCAGCAGGCAGTCACAAGTCATAGTCACATGAGGTCCTCATTTAATGACTCAAAATTCTCACTTAACTACAAAGGGATTTACATCATTAAACTTGTGATATTACGCTTTACAATCCCATCATTTAACATTCTGGTTAAATGATGGTCCCTTACTTCATTACTTCATTAATTTGCTCCACATCTGAAATCTATAACTATCATGGGGCCATCTACAGCAGGTTTCCTTGGTCCTTAGGAGTTTCCCTGATGTACCACTCATAGCTATTGTTTATATTCCTCCAATTATTTATCTTTTTCTTACATTTGTTCATGATTTTTACTAAACATATTCTCCAAGTCCAAGAAGTATATAAATAAAATAGCAATGGTGTCAGGACTGAAACCGACTTGGCTACGACCGTGTAGTTTCTGTGGGGTTTCTTTCTCAGGGTTTCAGGCTGACACACCTTTCAGCTGGAGAGGGGAGTAAGAGGGGGCATGGTGTAACCCAAACAGCATAGCTTTCTGGTGAGTCAAAGGCATTCCAGCAACTAGCTGGGCAGAAGAGGAGGAGGAGAGAGATAACCAAGCAACTAGCCAGCTTCCAGATTGGGCAATGTGATTTATTGTTTTGAAAACAGGGAAATGTTTCCCCTTAAAGTTGTAGAAAGTGCGGGAAGATCCAGAACTGGCTTTCCACTGGTTTGTGCCAAGTGATATCTCCAAATAAAATTGTTTTTTGAGGAATTACTCTGCTTCGGAGTTCTGTTTTGAAATGGCTGTATTACTTGGAACCCTGACAAATAGTTTTGTGGTCCTGATTCAAGAAGTATTCAAGAAGTGCCAGCAGAAATTAAATATAATATTAGCAACAAATAACAAGAAAATTCCAATAAAAAACGTAAGAATTGAATGAATGTAAGTACTGTTGATATTTGAATGGTCTTGGAGTGGCCAATATTTAGAAGACACCCTAATCAATTCAAGCAGCATCTTCTTAATTATGTGTCACAGGGTAACTGTGGCAAAGATGTCACTGATCAGAGGATAGTATCCAGGCTAATCCTGATTATCTGACACTAGGAAATAACTTTGGATGCCATTTTGCAGACATTTTGCAGAAATTCTGCAATTGCTTTGGATAATGAGATGGGTGGCATATAAATTTAATAAATAAGTAAATAAAATTTGTATATTTTACAACAGAGATACAACAATCCCCCAGAGATACACACGATACCAGACCTCCGGACTTTTCGTCAAGCCCTGAAAACACATCTATTTCATCTGGCCAGGCTGGCTTGATCCCATCCTTTCGGTTTTAATTTGAAATTGGTTTTAACTGGGTTGTTTTAAATTGAGGGCCGAAATTATTTAATGTCTTTTAATGTTTTTTAAATTTTATATGTTATGTTTTATCTCGGCTGTTCACTGCCCTGAGTCCTGTTGGAGAAGGGCGGTATAGAAATCAAATCAAATCAAATAAATAAAATAAATAACAGTGGTTTTTTTCAAAGCATTGTATTTGATGCTTATTCAAGGCTTACATTCTAATTAGAATATGTACATGTTCTTATCAATGGTACTAATTACACACTCTAGTGAATCATTACTAACTTTTTCCTTAGAAATGAAGACTTAGTATGTAGCTTACTTTATTTAGTTTGGACATTCTTCCTTTCTTGTGGATGATGACTGATATGAACACTTATAATTACACTTATAACAGCACTTACAACATACTTACGTGTCTTTCAGTAATTATGAATATGGGTGCTGATTTTTAAAAGCTCTAAGAGAAAATGGAAGATATTCTAATTCTCAGATAGTCTTTAGATTAAAACCAAATTCTGCAGTCAAACCAAATTTTGACTAAATATCTTTAGAATGGTATGGCAGTATTCAGGTCACAACTTCAAAGGAGGTATAGAATCATTCTCCTGTTAACTTACATGAAATTAAGTCAAATCCTATTTAAGTAAGTGTTTATATAAATGAGAACATATCCTTTTTCTTGTTCTTGCTCTTTCTCTCTCTCCCCCTCCCTCCACAGACTTATCTAGCCATGATATTATAAAATCTACAAAACCAGTTTGACAGAGTTTGTAGTCTATAGAGATATTCCTATATATACACACTAGAACCCAGAAGACCGAGGAGAAGATTCATTTATCCAAGTAAAAGGTGTAGCTGGATTAACAAGAGGTGCTTCAGTCAATGCTTAATTTATTGGATTGTTAAAACAATTATTAGCCCTTTTAACAATCAAATGGAATTCTATTCTATTTTATTATTCTTGGTGAATCAAGCTGAAAGTGAATGTTTCGCCCGGAGTAGCTTACATTTAAGATAAATTATGTAAGTTTATGTTCTGAACATCTTCCCATTTACTTTACAGCAGTGGTGGGTTTCACTTACCTTTGCTACCGGTTCGCTCCTGTGCGCAGACCGTATTTGATGACGTCTGGGCGAGTGGGCGGAGCCTCCTGCTGCCGCTACTACCGGTTCACCTGAACCGGGGTGAACCGGTAGCAACCCAGCACTGCTTTACAGTGAGTTCATGCTGTGAGATGGTTGATCATAATATAATATTGTTCTGAACCATGCACAAACTTTCTTTGAAGAGTCTTTTTAAAAGTAATTTTCATTACAGGGATTTTATATAGACTTTAAAAACTACAGAAACTTAAAAGAAGTTTCTGTAGTTTCTTAAAAGAAAAAGTAAAAAAGAAAGAAAAAATATAGGAGTTAAAGATTTTATTTATTTAACATATGGCAAGGAATTAAAGAAAAAGAGACAGATAACTAGAAAAAGAAAAGTATCTAAAGAACCGATCTTCTTTGCAGCAGTTTCAAACACAGTAATTACCATCTCCATCCTCCCAAATTACATTGCATGGTTCTTTCTTCCAATAAATAAACCTTTATAATTTAAAGGTTTTATAATTTAAGTAAATCCCAAAATCACCAGTTCATTTTTATCCATTTTCAGCAAAAATGTCCATAAAGTATTTCCAGTCTTTTATAAAAATAACTGTAGCTCCCTCCTTAATAAAACATCAATTTGGCCATTTCTGCAAACTTAAGTATCTTCACGATCCATTCCTCCATTATGGGTATTTCGATAGGATTCCATCTCCATGTAATGTATATAAAACCTTCACCATATGTAACACTAATCATCCATTAGCCTTTTGTAGTTAGCTGTCTAAAACGCATAAGAATAAGAAATAAGAAAAGTTTCAGTTTCATTTGAATTTTTAAAACTCTCTTCATTAACCCACTGTATGTATAACTTTTTAGTTTATCAAAAAAATATAAATTTATAAGTGCAGAATAAAATGTCCTTTAAGTTTTTTACATTTCCAACAGTAAATAGAAGTAGCTTTATACATTTTAGATAATTTCTCTGATGTCATATACTAAACTATATCATTGTGTAAAATTTTCTTTTAAATTGTAAGACACTATAAAACCACATTCTCTCCCATTAGTCCATGTGAATGTTATAGCCAAAATATGTGGTAAAATACAATTTTCTCATATTTTACTTTTGGTACTTTATTTATATTAAATCCTTCTCTTCATTGTGCATATAAAGACCATTGAAAACTAAACCAGTCACAAATATTCTCCTTTATTGTTACATGTGTATTGTGTGTAATGTGCGTGCATCTGTATTTGTATCTTTAAATAATCCTGGAAAAAACTATTACAAAAAAAGTAGCTTTTTAAAAAACATTTTCATTAAATTACCAAATCCAGTTTTATGCTGAGATGCTTTCTATAAGGAGAGCTTTATCTGCTGAGATTGGATTATGGGTTATGTTTTCTTTTAAAAAGACAGATAAAAGAAAAATAATGGGAACAAGGCATGGCTTTCCTAATATACCGGTCAACAAAGATTGAGTTTCAAATGCCATTTTTTTAGTCTAAACAACCAAAAGCTTTGAGGTTGGTAGTAAACCAAACTAACAATAAATCAGTTTCTAAGTAGATCTCCTTAGTTCAGGCTCTTCTCTGGGTTATCACAGGAAGCCAATGGCAATTGGGTCATGGGGTTGTTATTATAGGCTGCCTCTGCTAAGAAGCCCCAAACAGCCAGCAAGGCTGACCTACCATGCTTCAGTGTAAACAGTGCACTGTGCTGCAGGTCTTTCCACATCATCTGTCACCTCCAGGGTGGGGGTGCCTGCTTCCTCTTCAGCTTTTTAAAATAGGCAGGCAGGTGTTCTGCCTCCAGTTACCTTCCTCAATTGCCTATTAGTCTGCATGTCAATCAGACTCCCTAATCTATTCTGTCTAGTACAGTTTGCCCATTCATTGATGGGTTTACTTCACAGCTACTTAAATCCTAAAATCCTCTGGTGTTTAGTCAAACTAGGAGGCAACATAATCTAGGAGAGGTCTGGGATCTTCCATTATCCAGATGGGATTGCAGGAATCAACATCTGTCTGTCCCAACTAAGCTACAAGCTCTTCTTACCTCATCATTCTTTACATTTCTTGCAGTTTACCCATCATTTTATCATCTCCTAGCTCTATCCCTGCAACCCACACCTAATGTCAAAGTAAGGGATTTTATTTGTATTTCCACTGTGGATTGAATGCCTTCAGCTTGGATCAGCTGTAAAACAAACTGCAAGAAAAAACTAGAATTATGTCAATGAATGTTGCCTGAACAGTGGAATTCCAGATTTAAAATCTATATTCTTACCAGATCAAAACAGCAAGTTACCCATAAACTTACCAGGCTCATACTATACTATAAATTGTTTAGCCTATCCTATAAAACTTCCAGCAATCTGTTATTTTATTTATGTATTTATAATATTTATATTGCCACCCATCTTATGTCAAACTCTGGCTGGCTTCAAATCAACAATTAAAACAACATCAGTAATAACAATGTAATACATAAAACTATTAAAACTATCAAACATCTGGACAAAAATTAAACTTCCAAATCGTTCAATCTTCTCATAGCTGAAGTCATTTTTAATTATTCCAAAGATGACATTTTAAAAAAAGTGAATAGAATGATAGCATCCTGCATTTAAAGCAGGGATTCAGTACAGAAATAACCACGGTCAAGCTTGTTGGTGAACTGTGGCAGGATGGGAATGATAGCAATAGCAATAGCACTTAGACTTATATACTGCTTCACAGTGCTTTTACAGCCCTCTCTAAGCGGTTTACAGAGTCAGCATATTGCCCCCAACAATCTGGGTCCTCATTTTACCGACCTCGGAAGGATGGAAGGCTGAGTCACTCTTGAGTCTGGTCAGCATCTTGATTTCTCAGTGGCATTTCATATCATCCACCATGGCATGCTTCTGGACCAGCTTTGGGAGTAAAGCAGTATGAATACTGTATTACTGAAGAAGCTTCTTAGATGAGAAGTGAAACGTCTTCAAAGAAAACCAGAAAGTCCAATTGTCTCTTGAAAAAGCAACTTTGGGACAACCATGACCTGGATGATTGAGAATCTCCATAGACTGTATTGCAAGGTTCTCTTTCTTCCTCCAAGGCTGCTCCCAGTTGATTGTGGAGGGAAGGGGTGAAAAACTGTTTCCCCAGTCCCTCCTTTATGGGGTGCCACAAAGTTTAACATTTTCTCCCCTCCTATTCAACATCTGTATGAAACTTCTGGGAGAAGCCATTTACTAGTGTGAGTTCCAGTATCATCAGTATGCTGATTGATTATATCTTTGACCCTGAGTCAACCAAACAGGGCTTCAGAGGCAAGCTATTTCCTTGACCATCTCCTTCTCTAACCCAACTAAAAGGCTTTGTGTGAAGGCAACCAACAGCCTGGGAGGCAGTGATTTCCCAGACAAATCTTGTCTTTGGCAGTGGTATCAATGCGTCTCTTCTCTTGGTTTTGGGAATAAGAATAGGAGCTTTCATTTTCACAAGGATCATGAGATGTAAGTTTAACTATAGGCTTCAAGAAACTCATTCCCATTACCTTCCCATCCAGCTAAGAAGCTTCTCAGGTTAATGGACATAATGAATAACACTGACAGCACCCACCCACATTTGCATGGACCTGGGCATCCAAAGACTAGTATGCTATTAAGAGAGAGCTTATTCTATTTATAAAGGCCCAAGGGATACTTGACAAGCATTTCAGAAAGATCTTCTCAGGCATTATGTAGGCAGATGCCTCTGAAGTACCTGAGTATCTGATCTCTTCTGCAAGTAAAGAAAAAGTGTCTGTGTAGGAGATGAGCCTTCATAAGTCCTAAGTAGCTAAAATTCAGCAAATCTTAGACCTTGATCATGTCATTACCAGTACCGCCCGTGGTGCATTGTAGTCTGGATCTATAGCGATACTTGTAACAGAAACAGGAAGATGCTATTTGTAAAGCAGTGATAGTAAGGACGGCTTTAAACTGCATCCACAGGAGGCTAGAAATGAAATAAATGTCTGTCATAAAGTCATTTTAAAATGTTTTAGAGCAGTGATGGTGAACCTTTTAGACACTGAGTGCCCAAACTGCGCGCATGCGCATGCCCAAACTGAAAGGTGCGCACCAGTGGTGGGTTCTACTTACCTTTACTACCAGTTTGCAACGGGATCGTGCGTGTGCACTTCGCTAATATGATTTTCCCATTACTGTAATGTGTATTTCTAGAACAGTTTGGTTTTTTTCTTTTTGATTTGAGGTTTTGCTTTGTTACACAGAGTCCATGGAATGTCTTTGTGATAGAAGACAAAAGGAACAAATCAAAAAAAAAAATGTACAAAGGGATATTTTTGGAACTCATACATGTTTTAAAAATCATTCATAAAAGATCAACAAAACATTATTTGTGATTAAATATTTAACTGTCCTGATCTACAAAGCTACCTTTTATTGGAAGACATTATCAAAAACAGCAGGAGTACGTAGTAGCAACAATGTTAGTTCATTTGCAATTTTTCAGTTGTGAACTTAAGTAAAGTTTAATCTAATAATTACCTAGTTTGTGAAGTAAACATTGTGCTGAATTATTATAAGAAAAGCTTAAGATCTCAGCTAAAATTTTGTTCATTGTTTCCCTCTGTCCCTTTTGTAAATTTGTATTTGGCAGCCTTGTAGCTAGTTTGGTGCCAATTCACATTGACTACATCTGGGATTTGTTTGCCCTCTATAATAAGAAATTGTTTTTGTTGTTGCCTTCAGTAGGGACTGCTTGTGAAGTATTGCTTTGCCTTCTCTACCACTGAGTGAGATTTCACTCAGGTTAAGCGTTACTAAGTAAGATGCACTTGAATGCTTGCTCTTGAGAAAATCTCTGGACTGTAATAGGCCTGAAAAGGTTAGTGAATGATCAGGGAAGGGTATCAGTGACCCAACAAACCAATAAGAACTAAAAATGTTCTGTTAAAAACCCTTTTATCACTAAGAAGAGTAACAAATAACTATCTATAAAATTGGGCTTTTTTTTTAATGAACTAAGCACTAGCCTTATTCTACTTTTGTCAAAGAAGAACCACTGAATTCAAAAGCATCAAAAGAAGTTGTTCTATTAATAATATAATTTTCCAATCCACTTCCCTACTGTTGTTATTATTATTAATTTTAAATTATATTACCTCACTAATACTTATCTCTAGCTTTAATTTTTTTTCGTTTATTAATTAGTTTATTGCAGAGATACTTTAAAGCAGCTGTTTCTCTAGCAATAGCCAAGGAGCAGATCCTTTAAAGCAGGGGTGTCAAACTCGCAGCGTCATGTTGTCGTCATGTGATGTATCACATCTCCTCCCTTCGCTAAACCAGAGGTGGGTGTGGCTAGCGTGTGACTCATCCGGTCCATGGGCCGTGAGTTTGCCCCCCCCTGCTTTAAAGAGTGTAAGTCACCAGTACTCTTTAGCATCCTACATCATGCAGTATTGGGATGTCTCCAGTAGCAGAGGGAGAGCAAACTCCTTCTAAATAGGATTCTTTATAAAAAAAAATTCTGTTCAGAACTCATTGGAAGTAGTCAGCTAAACCCTGTACAAGTAGTCCTTGATTTACAACAGGTCATTTAGTGACCTGTTAAAAGTTACAGTGACACTGAAATGTGTGACTTATGACCGTTTTTCATTGTTACAACCTTTGTAGCATCTCCATGATCACATGACCAAAATTCAGATGCTTGGCAACTGGTTCATATTTATGACCTTTGCTGTGTCCCAGGGTCATGTGATCTGGCAACCTTCTGACAAGCAAA